GTTTGAAGTGTATGTAAGACCAAGAAAAAACAAGAGGACCGCGAGATTCATTGATTGTATGTTGTTTTTGTCCCATTCGAGAATTTTTCACTCATATAGAGATGTCACCATATACCGGTGAAGGGCTTCAAATTTAGACCTATACTCGGCACTCAGGGCCATTGAGCAGCGAGAGTTCTTTATTGTGCCAACGCCTGCTGTGACACGGACCTCGGTTTTTAAGGTCTCATCCGAAAGACCCGAGACTTTCCAGGCGCTTGGCGAAAAACAGACAGACACTACCTACATTTACGTCTTAGGTTTGACGCGGCAAACGAGAATCGAACCCCGGCCCCCCGATCACGAAGCCGCCAGATTCAGTCGAACAGTGCAAACAGCAAGAAGGCGAATCCTTTCATAATTTTGTCAAAAATCTATGTTTAATCCAGATAGACTGTGAGTATGCTGACACAGTGACATTTTAATTGATGCAATTATTGCAGGAATGGCATATCAGACAAGAGGCCCAAGGGCCTTAACGGTCGCCTGAGTACAATACAACAATTTAGAGGATCTATAAACTGATAAATGAAGATTTGTTGCCCAAAAGCAAGAAAAATAGTATGATTAGCATCAACAAAATAATTGGTCTAGTATCTGTCTGTCCCCTATTTATCACTATTACCATGCAGACTATTAACCAAATGTCTATTTTTAACCCCATATTATTACTTCTCACATTGGCCTCTCTTGGCTTTTGAAGTACATTTAAAAAGATAAGTTATTTTTGTCTTGTTTTTATTCATCTATTATTTCCAATTCTACCTGATCATTAAAACTATGAAAGTACTTTTTGTATTATACAAGAAATATTCTTGCATAATTCTCTTATTCTATTAACCTTTCAAATACATTGCTTACAGTGATTAATTATCAAAGGTGAATGGCAAAGGGGAATAACTTTGCTCAGCAGAATACAAGTTAATAGAGCCCTGGCCAGGACCAGAACACTTGACAAAATGGTCCAGGTGTTCAAAATTCTGGTAAAAATACCTTTGCATATTAAAACGTTTACTCTGTTTGCCTCGAATATGCCCAGAAGCATAGAAGATTTCCAAAAAAATAATGCATTTTCACTATATTATTAAATAAATAAGGCCCCACCCTTACACCAGAACATCTGACCCAGGGTCCATAAACTCATGATTCTGGAAGAAGCACCCTTGCTCACCATAACTATACACTTGTTTCTTTGCTTAATAACCAGTAGTAGAAAAAATATTTTGAAAGAAATTATGAATTTTCACTATATAATCAATATAGTCCCCCCCCCCCCTCTTCACCAGAACCCCTGACTCAGTGGCCATGAATTTCACAATTTTGGAAGAGGCATTCTTCCTTATCATTACAATGCACTTCCTTTGTTTGAATAATACCCAGGAGCAGAGAAGAAGATTTTGAAAGAATTTATTCATTTTCCCTATATAATCAATAGAGCCCTGCCCTAACACCAGGCCCCGGGGCCACAAACGTCTTGAGTCAAACTCAAGGGCTGTATTTTACTCAAATCTGAGATTTTTTCTCAAATCGCTGAGTTTAACTCAATAAAGTGTGCCACGAAACTTAAGTCTTACTCAATTAGAGTTTTTTCTTGAGTTTTTCTCTAAAATATCTGAGATTGCTAGGTAGCTGTCTCAGAAGTCAACTCAACACAAAAATGGCTGCCAGACGCATTATAATGCAAAACATTATTAGGCAAGAGAGGATACCACGTCGACTTCAGGATAGATCAAATCCACTAGAATCGTTAACAGAGGAAGAAATTTTTATGAGATACAGGTTTAGATCCGCCACTATTTTCTTCATATGTAGTCTCATTGAAAACCAACTAGAACATCTGACGAAGAGGAGTTCGGCTCTGCCACCATTGTTTCAGGTGTTACTAGCACTTCGTTTCTTTGCTACGGGTGCGTTTTACCAACTTATTGGGGACTCGCTGGCTATTTCCAAGTCGACTACAGGACGAGCTGTACGAGAAGTTACCTCCCTCCTCTGTTCGCTAGCCAGACAGTTCATTCGCTTCCCATCAATTCCTGAAACTGCAGAGATACGCACTAAATTCTACAGTTTAGCAGGTATACATATCCAAGATTTGATTATCTGTATTGACATGACAAGTCTAAAACAACTGCGTTCTTGGCAGTTACTTACCTCACGATGTACAGTGCCCGAACGCTAGGCCTAATGTTACGTCATAAAACATCCAATAAACACACTTTCAATGACTTTTAATAGTCTGTTCCGCAAAGCAGCCTCCACATTCTTTATATCATAAGAAAAAAGTATAATAAAAAAACCAAAACTATCTGAAATGTCGCACACAATTTTCATACTCCATGAACTTATTCCATTTTATAAGGGAGATAACTCAGAATCAGCTGCACAGAAGTATGATTCGCGAAATTACCCAGATTTCTATATTTTCGGAAGTTAATCCAAGCTGTGTTTCATGACATATTTCAATTTTAGCAATTAATTGTTATGGGAATGAATAGATTATTATATTACACTTCCTAAAATGAAAAAAAAATATAGCCTTATGAAAACAAAGATCTGCAATATATATACATTGGGGGAGGGGGGGGGGGGTTAAATATAAATATTTACATTTGCAAATGTTTTCCCTTATATAACACTATTGAAAGCAACGCGTATCTATATCCGTATAAACACGGGTTCCTCGAGTCATAAACGTTCGACGTAATTTCTCAGTGACGTCATAAAGGGTCGACGCGCAAACAATGGATCAAATACGTGCCGTTGAGTTTGAAAAATAAAACATTTCACGCGTTAAAGATTATAATCAGGAAAATATAAAATATGAATAAGTCATAAATGTAAATATAAGTAATAATGTATCATTTTTAAACATCTATCGGATATAAATACGGGTTGGTACGAGATCAAATTTACCATAAAGCCCTTCGGGCTTTATGGAATTTGATCTCGTGACCAAACCGTATTTATATCCCGATAGATGTTTAAAAATGATACATTGTTTCTTAAATATTATTTAAGTCAGGTGCTATATATCTTGTTTACTTGTGTTCATGTAGCTGACTCGTGATTTTTGCATGAATTATTGATAATTTCTTTCTTTCTAATGTCTTTTCCAATAATTTATGTAATTTTTCATTCTGGCCAAATATGGAATAAATATTTTAATTAATGATTAAAAGAAAAGACAAAAGGTCATTATCACCCCCCCCCCCCCAAAAAATCGAATTTAAAATATTTTGAAATATACTGATGATTAGTAAATATGTGAACACTGATACGTTTATTATTGGTTTTCTCGTTTTATTTAATTTTATAAAAGGTTTTCCTAATGTGGTATGCTGTGTCGACGGCACATTAATTCGAATTCGATGTCCTGCCCAGAACGAGGCCGAATATGTATGCAGAAAGGGTTATTATGCATTAAATGTGCAGGTGAATATAATCTATTGTAATTATATGTACATGTTTTTTTTCCCTAACTAATTCATTTTTCAATTGCTTTATATGTGCAGGTGAAAATAAAGTATCGTAATTAAGTCGTATTATATCGTTTTCATTGGTTGCCAAATTTCTCTTTTCCACTATTTTTATATGAAAACGACTCGTGTGATATCGCACATTAAGAGGTTTTGCAATACAATTACAAGTTTAAATATAATATTTTAACCATAGAACGTTTTTTGTTTGTTTGTTTGGCCACCAATACCTATAATAAATGATTTTTTGTTATGCTCATCTGTTTTTCTACTCAAGATGATATTCAAAGTCTTTAAGGATATTTGTTCAAGATCACATTTTCATAGAATATATACAATTGTTTCTTCTGATGATAGTCACGTGGTTTTAGTCTATGGCAAGATTGAGAGATAAGGATAAGGATCAATTTAAAGAATGACATGCTTTTCTCAGATTGTATGCATTTACATTGTCGCAAATTTGATGGTCAGACTGATTTTGAAAATATAACATATTATATGTAATAATCGAGGGAATATACTACATGTATAATTTTTTTTGTTTGTAAGATTTAGCAGAAACCTAACTTGTTTTTGTACTTGCAACCCAACCCAACCCCCCAACCCCCCAAAAAAAAAGAATAGTAAATTTACTTTCTTTCAGATGGCCTGTAATGCCTCGTTTAGATTTGTGAACTGCGTTGCAAAATGGCCGGGTAGTGTACATGATTCCCGTGTGTTTAGAGAATCGTCTCTTGCTAGACTCTTCGAAACTGGTAAGGCATAAATAAGAAAACGGAAATAGGTGATTTTTCTATGACATATAAATTATTATAATAATGATTAAAAAAATTATTAGCTTCAAAAGGGAGGAGAATATTCAGTCATACATTAACATATAAATTTTTGCGAGTAAACGGTATTTAAAAGGGCATTCTAAAGTGCTTTACTTTTGGAGTTAACTGCTGATATTTTTTTTGTTTTAATTTCCATTCAGAACATAGAATTTTTATGCTTACAGGAGCGCGAAATGGTATTATTTTGGGTGATTCAGGATATGCTCTCAAGAGGTACCTCATGGTTCCATATTTGACTCCCAGTAAAAGAGCACAGGAGAGGTTTAATACATCCTTATGTCGCACGAGAGTAGTAATAGAACAGGCGTTTGGTATCCTAAAAAGGAAGTTTCCTTGTCTACAGACAGGTTTACGGGTGGAGCCCGACAAAGCTTGCGCTATCATTGTGGCCTGCACAGTTCTCCACAATCTTGGGATTGAGAGACATGACATTGTAGATCCGATACCAACTGTTCAAGGTCAACTGATCGACGAGGTGGCTCTGCCTGCGGTAGGAGGGCAACACAAAGGAAAGCATGTTAGAGATCACATCGCCAATGTGTTTTTTGGGCATTGAATACGTAAATAGAATCGATATTTAAATAGATATATATACTAAAAAATAAAATTTCATTGATGATTTATTTGCATTTATAAAACTACGTTTTATTTAATTCTTTTTCAACTTCAATAACAATATCTCTTCTTTTAGCTTCTCTTTTTCTAGACTTAAAACTTCAACTTCTTCTAACATCTTCTTTTTCTTCAAATGCATCAGCTCCATTTCTAACTCTAACTTTCTCTTTTCTGTCTTGAGAAGATCTTTCTGTAGAATCAATAAACTCTGTTCCTTTTTGTTTTCTTTATTAGAGCGAGGTGGCACTGAGGTGTACGTGTCTGAAGATGAATCTTGACCCTCGCTGCATGTTGAGATGGATGCCACCTGACCCCTTTCCTTCTCTAATTCTGTTAAAACAGAATGATGTAACTATTCAATGATACATAAAATAAAAATATGAGTAACTTTGAGCAACCCGTAACACTTTTGTTTGTTTTGAACATATTTTTTGACAATCAAAAGGATCAGAAACAAGTTTTTATCAACTTACTAGTTCCTCTCCTTAATATAACACAACAATTATCATGCAAAATAATATATATATATATATATATATATATATATATATATATATATATATATATATACGATTTAACACTTTTATTTTGTGCTTTCGCGCAAGGATTTTGACCCCTCCCCCCCCCCCCAAAAAAAAATCAATTAATTAAAAAAAAAACGCACGATTTTAGCGCTTTTAAAGTGAAAAATCTGTTGAGGATTTTAATACATGTACGTATTCTTTGCGTATGTCTAGGAAATAAACATACATGCTTTTTTAGTCCCCTACCGGTGAAACCGGAGGGGACTATAGGTTTCCTCTGAGTCTGTCCGTCCGTCTGTCCGTCCGTCCGTCTGTCTGTCTGTCCCTCTGTCTGTCTGTCAGTCTGTCCCACTTGGTTTTCCGCACTTTTTTCCTAAACGCTTGCAGATATTGAGCTGATTTTTGGTATGTGAGTGTATCTTGATGAGTTACAGATCAAGTTTGCATTTCGTTCCGCTTCATTGATTCTTGACGGAATTACGGCCTTTTCAATTTTTTCGGGTTTTCCACAATTTTCTTCTAAACGCTTGTAGATATTGAGCTGATTTTAGGTATGTGGCTTTACCTTGATTAGTTACAGATCAAGTTTGCATTTCGTCCCGCTTCATTAATTTTTGACGGAATTATGGCATTTTCATTTCTTAACGGGAACGGAACCAGATTACACTTGCCGGTAGGGGACTAGTATTGCTAATGCAATACTCTCAGAATGCTTGTTTTCACTTGATTTACTAGGTAATTCGAACTGCGTATATCCAATATAGTAATATAAAATCTCACGAAATAGTATTAAGGTTATTACTAAAGGTGGTTACATGTATTTCATTTACATCAAGAAAGTATTCTTACCACCAGAATCAAAACCTGAGTCTAATCCCTGCAAGGACGGCCTTCCCTCCAAAGTATCCAACATGGCTTGCTCAACAGGGGTTGGTGATGGGGGCTTTGGACCTCCACCTGTGTTGGGTCTTATAATTTGGGACAGTTTGTACTTTGCTACGTTAAGAACAATAATGATAATAAAACTTATTTTAGCTTGTCAAACTCATTATTTCTTTTAGAGACTCCGTTGTAAATAAAAGAGTGTTACCCATGCGCGGATCTAGAGGGGGGTTGGGGGTTCCAGAATTTGCAAAGTTATTAAAAGTATACACTGAAGCAAGTAAAAACGAATTTGGACCCCCTCTAGAAAACGTGGACCCCACTACCACCACAATTTTTTTTTCACGTTGGGGAAATGGATTTTTAGATTGCTTTTGTTTTGTTTTGTTTGTTTGTTTGTTTTTGTTTGTTTTTTTTTGTTTTGTTTTTGCTTTGTTTTGTTTTGTTTTTGTTTTGTTTTTTGTTTCTTTTTTTGTTTTTTTTTGCTTGTCGAGACATTTCTAGGTTGGAAATTTTTTGATTGCGGATTGACCCACCCTGGAAAAAATTCCTGGATCCGCGTGTTACCGATACATGTACATATATATTACGAAACGATGCTATGAAGATAAAAGACAAGGTTTGATTTTTTAACTGAAATGTGCTTTGTATTCAGAATATAGCCAGAATAACAAAAAGTAAATGATTTTTAGATGTGTACCTCTGGCTTTCAAATTGGCATACTGCTTTGATGCCTCCTTCCCTGTCCGAAAGTAAATACCTAATCTGTAACAGAAATAAACCGGAAATAAGTTGTGAAAAGAAATATAGCTCAATACTTGCAACTCTTCAGTATGGAATGAATATGATAAGTTTTATGAAGACTTCCTAGATGGAAGGGGGAGGGGGGGGGTTGCATGTGCGCCCATCAAATCCACCTCCATGACACACATAAGTAATTTGCAAGTTTTTTCACACTTAAAAAATATCAATATGAAAAGTAAATTAAATTAACTGAAAAAATTCTTTGCACTTTAATCTTTGTTTCAGTGAAAATCTTTAAAAAGGGGAAGGGTAGCCCGGGTTACAAATAGTACGATCTTTTATGCTAAACTATTTGCTGTATGATATATTATCACCATGCTAAGTTTATATGGAAAATGGACCTGACATTTATTTTCTTCTTTTCTTTTCTGAGCACTTTCTATTTGTATATATAGTCTGTTCAAAGTCTTCCCAGATGACGTGTTATTAACTCAGTAAAAAGCTCATAAATTAAATAAATCTATAATTTAACTTTACAAGATACAAGCAAGAATAATTTAAAACTTTATAGAATTTTTTTTTATAGAATTTTTAAAATGTATTAAATAAATTATCAAGGTAAGAAAATAATAAATAATTCTTTGAAATAAACATACTCGTTTACAGCTCTTGCTACATCCTCCCAGGCAGCTTCTCTCTCTACTTTTCCCCTCCCCGGTCCTTTAAACTTTCCAAAAAGTTTCTGCTCATTTTTTGAAACAAATTCAATTAAAACACTCTGTTCTAAGTCGCTCCAGGAAGGTTTCCTTTTTGGAGTGGATGCTGCGAGGGGAGTTTCGACAGCCTCGAATATTGTTTCGTTAATTTTGGAAGGATTTTCAACTATGATATCATACAGTACATTCATTTCTCGCATAATCACCGGTGTGAGATTGACTTGTCCGGTGTGAGACAGCAGTGTGAGATTTTTCTGTCTTACACTGTGTATTACTACGCCGCGAACGATAACGTAAACATTCCGTCTTTATATAAAGAAATTGTAACAATGTTAAAAAATATTACATATACTTAAAATGTTGTCATTTGACTTATTAAGATAAACTTATTTTCATTCAAAATATTGTCGTATTTTCACTTTAATATGGCACTATTTTTAGATCGCGGAAGGGTCTTCTTGAATGAATGTGTACGCTTTCGGATAGATAAGTTTTTTTATTCCCAGTTTTTATCTATCTAATTAATTTACATGGACTGAAATTCATTTTATCAGTTTACACTGCGTGTAAACCATTTTCAGGTACGCTCTCTCTGATGGTGTATTTAGATTTTTAATTAGATGGAAAATTAAAAGAATATATTTTTAGCCCTATCATAGCGACGTCATTGACAGGCCGTTATTTTGGATAAAATAATGCGAGAAAAATAATCATTCATTACATACTCGTGTGGGAATAGTGAAATTCCACCTCGGGGCCAAGATTCACGGTCTAGGACTCGGCAAAGCCTCGTCCTAGACCGTGAATCTTGTCCCCTTGGTGGAATTTCACTATCCCACACTCGTTGTAATGAATGATTCTATTATTCTTCCATATTGGTGAGACAGCCGTTCCGTAGTATGCAACGTCATCAAAACCAAAAATATTACGTCACAATTATGTGAATTGGCATTATAGAGGTAGATTCAAAAGGAAAACAAAGAGATTACGTTTTTCATTATTTATTTTTCTTTTATTTACATTGCCAAGGCCACTTACATCATAAAAAATAATTTGCGTTTTGTTACTCAGCGGAGTTGAGTTGCTTTAACTTTCGTGGCACACTTTTTTGAGTCGTAACTCAGGTGAGTAAAAAACTTAAACTCAGATTTGAGTTGAGTAAAATAAAACGTTCGTGGCCCCGGGGCCAGAACCCCTGACCCTGGGGCCATGAAATTAACAATTCTGGAAGAGGCAACCATGCTCATCATAACTATGAACTTAGTTTTTTTAATACCCAGGAGCAGAAAAGAAGATTTTCAAAGAATTAATGCAATTTTACTATATAGTCAATAGAGTCCCGCCCTAACACCTGAAACCCTGACCCAGGGGCCACAAAATTCACAATTTCTCAAAAGGCAGTCATACTCATCGTAACTATGTTCTAAGTTAGTTTATTTAATACCCAGGAGCAGAGAAGAAGATTTTTAAAGAATTGATGCATTTTCACTATAGGGTGAATTCACCATGCATCGGACACCCTTGCACTTCAACAAGTTCTAGTGATATCGCTACCGACCGAATATTATCAAAATGGAACTTAACATGTAGTATGTGGTTAAAATATAAATTTTTGACACAATCGTGCCCTATTTATTGAGAAAATATCATTAAAAACCGATTTTTTCGAAATAAGTCAGAATTTACCAAGGATCGGACAATATTCACCATGCATCGGACATACGATATTTGAACCAGAAAAATATCATACCTTGATCTTGGTGCTTCAAAATTAGTGATATCGAAAGATTTTTATCTTTTATTTAAAAATTAACCTTCTAATTAAATTTGAATGACTATTTCGATCCTCAAATATGAAGAGTTTTTAGTTGCATCAAATCGCCTTAGAAAGGCTTTACAATGCTAGTATAATATGACAACTCGCGCCTTTGTCTCGTGGGTTATAATCATCTAGTTTAAACAAATAAATTGAGTCCACTTCTAGTCATCATATATCGATAATTTGTATTTTCACTGAAAATTTAGAGTTTCTATTTCCGTAAAAAACAGCTGTCATTTGGGTTTTACATGAAAATGGAAGTGATTACCCATGCATCGGAAAGTGTCCGATGCATGGTTAATTTGTGTCCGATGTACGGTGAAATAAACATACTAGTTAAAAACAACTCTAAAATATATAATACAAACATTGAAGTAAAATTTTTGAAAAATTTCTGTAATATTATCAATCATTGGCAAATTTTACCAAGGTCCGACCCATTCCGTTGACGTCTATTTAAAAGAACGACAACTCTAAAAATTGCAAAATCGTAAAATTCTGGTTACTCCCCTTTGATGATGCAAAATATGACGTAATTTCAAGGCCATTCTTGTGGTATTTTTATCACAACATGAAAATAAAAATCGACATCATTAGAAAGTTTAATTCTTCATCTTTAAGACAGAAACAAGTAAAAACATGGGGAGACTCAGGTTCAATGAAAGTTTATTGCTTGAAGTTGTCCGAAGCAAGGTATGTGTCCGATGCATGGTTAACTCACCCTATAGTCAATAGAGCCCCATCCTAACACCAGAATCCCCTACCCAGAGGCCATGAAATTTATAATTTTGGAAGAGGCACTCTTGCTCATCATAACTATGTACTTAGTTACTTTATCTAATACCCAGGGGCAGAGAAGATTTTCAATGAATTAATGCATTTTCACTATATAATCAATAGAGCCCCGCTCTAACACCAGAACCCCTGACCCTGGGGCCATGAAATTCACAATTTTGGAAGAGGCACTCTTGCTCATCATAACTATTTACTAAGTTACTTTAATACCCAGGAGCAGAGAAGATTTTCAAAGGAATAATGCGCTTTCACTGTATGATCTATATAGCCCCACCCTAGCACCAGAACCTCTGACCCTGGGGCCATGAATTTCACAATTTATTAGAGGGCTCAATGCTTTACAATCATGCTAACAGTTTGACTGCTTGATGTCCAGGAGTAAAGAAGATTTTTAAAGATTGCATTAATTTTGGTGGTTTTAGCTCCACTCCTCTGGCCTCTGAGGGGGGGGGGCATGAAATTCACAATTTTGTTCCCCCTTTACTCATAGATGCTATATGCCAAATTTGGTTGAAATTGGTTAAGCGGTTGCAGAGAAGAAGCTAAAATGTTCAAATGTTAATGCACGACGACGGACGAAAACGCATAGCAATAGGTCACCTGAGTGACTCAGGTGACCTAAAAATACAAGCACGGTTACTTGATCAAGGTCAAGGTCTGAATCTTGCCAAAACTCTTGAAATAGGGCGCCAGTATGAAAAGTCCCAGTCACAACTTAAATTAATCCGGGGATCTGAGGAAATATATATTTCCAAACCTTGAGTGAAGCAGAAAAAGTCTGAAACAGGAAAACAGGTCAGTACGATAAAGCAGAAGACTGAAAAAGTATATAAAAACCCCACTTGTACATGTTGTGGATTGAATGCCAACCATACCAAATGTCCAGTAGTCGGTACCACTTGCAATTATTGTAAGAAAGTAGACCATTGGCGATAAGCCTGTCTGAATCTGAAAGTGACTGTGACGAGGATGAAGATACCATGATAGACATTCTTTCTACCAGTGATAATAAATCAAACACTCGTAAGTCAGATAAATGGCTTACCATAATATGGGGTCAACCCCTTCTTTTTTTCCCACAAGGTACCTAATTCAATTTCAGGCACCCCCGCTTCAAGCTCGTAATTTGGTAATATATCAATCATTAACCTGCTTTAAAATGACATTTAAGCCACAAACCATTGGAAAGCTGAGAGAAATGGAGTCGGATGGTTATATTATTTCCGTTGAAGAACCCACCGAATGGGTAAGCTCAATGATTGTAAGCCTACGGAACTAAATTTGGAATCTGTATAGACCCTAAAGATCTTAATGAGGTCATTAAGAGAGAACACCACCCCATGAAGACTGCAGAGAAAGTGTCATCCTCTTTTCCTTGTGCAAAATTATTTTCAGTTCTTGATGCCAAATCTGGTTACACGCAGATTAAACTTGACAATGAATCATCATACATAACCACTTTTTTAACATCCCGATTGGTCGTTTCCGCTGGCTTAGACTCCCATTTGGCATAATGCCAGCCCCAGAGAATGGATCAAATGTTAAAAAGAATGGAGGGAGCATTTGTAATCATGGATGACATTTTGATCGTGGATCGTGATCGCGAGCACCACGACCATTTCCTTCAAGCTGTAATTAAGAGAGCAACCGACTACGTAGGACACATCATTAATGCTCAAGGCATCAGACCCGACCCGGAAAAGATTCGTACTGTTTGCAACTTGCCAGCACCAACCAATAAGGAAATAAGGAAGCTGTGCGGAGATTATTAGGATTAGTGCAGTACCTTTGTAAATTTATTCGGAACATGAGCAAAATGGATGCGCCTCTCAGACAATTCTTAAAGCTGACATTCCATTTCAATGGGATAAAACACACCAAAGAGTTTTAACAAACTCAGAACCGCTTGTACAACCGCTCAGTCCTTGGGCTCTTTCATATAAGCAAGCCAACAGAAATACAATATGATGCCTCAAAAGATTGTCTAGGGGCAAGCCTCATGCAAGAAGGCCGTGTCATTTCGTACTCATCTCGAGCTCTTACAGACAAGCAATACGCAAACATTGAAAAAGAGATGCTTTAAATTGTACATGGAGTATCCAAGTTTCATTGCTACATCTTCGATAAGCCAGTCACTGTCTTCATTGACCACAAACCACTAGAGTAGATTTTTAAAAAAACCAGTTCTATCCGTGCCTTTGAGACTTCAGAAGATGCTACTTAAGCTACAGTGGTATGATCTTACGTTTAGATTGATTGATTGATTGTATGTTGTTTAACGTCCCATTCGAGAATTTTTCACTCATATAGAGATGTCACCATATACTGGTGAAGGGCTTCAAATTTTGACCTTTACTCGGCAGTCAGGGCCATTGAGCAGTGAGGGATCTTTATCGTGCCAACGTCTGCCGCGACACGGGGCCTCAGTTTCTAAGGTCTCATCCGAAGGACCCGCAACTTTCACTTCAAAGTGCCGAGCGCATGGCGAAGGAACAGTTGCTACCCATTTTTCATCGACATAGGTCAGTCGCGGCCTCCCGACCTTCCGATCACGGAGCGAACGCTCTACCGACTGAGCTACCGTGAACTGTCTCTTACGTTTAGATATCGAAAAGGCAAGGATATGGCAGTAACTAAGGCATTGTCCCGAGCTTACTTACCGACCCTTGATGTGGCTGAAATGAAAGCTTTTGACTTATCTGTCAGCAGGGAGAGGCAAGAAGACAGGGAGCGCACCTTTACTGAACTAAGAGGACTATACACTGTAATCATTAATGGTTTGCTTGACACAAAGAATGAAACTCCAGTCAGTATACGGGATTACTGGACATCCCATGGTGAACTATCAGTAATGAATGGTGTTATATTTAAGGTATGCGCATTGTGATTCCACCTACTCTTCGATTACACATGCTCAGTATCATACATCAATCTCACCTTGGAATTGTAAAATGTCAGCAGCGTGCCCATGAGGTGATGTACTGGCCTGGAATGAACTCACAGCTTGTTAAAGTAGCTTAATTGCTTGTTAAAGACTGTGAGAAGTGTGCCGTATTCCAAAACAAACAACCACCAGAATCTTTAAAGCCAACAACAGTTCCAGACTTACCATATTCTGCGGTGGGGTGTGAAAAATTTATCTTTGAGTCGAAGAAATATCTTGTGGTAGTAGACTACTTTTCTGAGTGTATTGATTGTGTGGAGCTACAGTCCAAGTCATCAATCGCTACCATGGAAGCTTTGAAATGTATATTTGGAACTCATGGAATTTAGTTCGTGTGAATTCCGTAATTTCTGCAATGAATTGGACTTTAAACATATTGCTTCTAGTCCATACTTGCAGAGCTCATTTTATGCAGCGGAGCGTGCAGTCCAAACCTTTAAGCGTGTATGGAGAAAGACAGTAGATAAACAACTTGCTCTTCTCAATTATAGAACTACACCAGCAGAAAAAGTGAATTTATCTTATGGGAATGAGACCACGCGATACATTCTCTGCAGCATCCGATATTTTTCAACCAAAGGGTCAAAATCTTGATCATATAAAGCAGAGTCTACAGTCAGTCAAGGACAAGTAGAAAGCTAGTTTCGACAACAAATAAAGAAGCAATTTACCGCTATATCCCACAGACCAGTACGAATCATGCCGCAGCAGGGAGAGAAAAGTGGATCTCAGGAATGATCATACTATAATATTGTACAAGTCGGAAATCGCAAGTTGTATCGAATTCATTAACACCTGAGATCCTGGACTCGCAAGGCCAATGAAATGCTTGATGACCAACGAATGATGGAAAGATTTACGACGAAAGTTCACACGAAGGAAGTTCAGAAGAACCCACCAGTTTAACCCCGAATACCACTAACGAAACTGAAAATTCTCATGCCACTTAACAAGCCTCTACTTGTATTATTCCAACGGCAAAAACCACTAGATCCGGGAGACTTGTTATTCCACCTAAAAAGTTGGATTTGTGAAGTGAAGTGAATGAGCAGGGTCAATTTAAGTGAAAATCAGTGCCATTTTAATTTGTGATATCACATAAGTATCTGCCGTTGTTCTTTGTACCACTGTCATTTCATATGATTATGTTTTTTGCATACAGGTCAGCAGCCTTACTTTATGCATACAATTCTAATTTCAAAGGATATTGATAAGTTTAACTGTTTGGACAATACTTAGGTTCAGTTATATTAGTAGGGGTAACTGATACTTTTGTTCGATGTAATATGTTTACATACATAAACATTGTTTTGTTTTATAAGAGGGGGAAGAGGTATATATGTACATATTGAGATCGGTCTCGGTATACTGAAACAGGTGTGTATCAATAAAGTAGCCATCTTAGAACTGTCTTGCCATGTTCTGTGGACCAATATACACGATGTTTTTCAACATTTAAGGACAATTTGATTTTTTTGTGATCATGGTATGGCTGACAGAAGTTCCATGGGGTACGACTATTGCATTGCCTAAGTAAAGTAAAAGGCATGAACAGGTTGCTGTGCAGTTTGTTGTGAATTTTTACACCATGGAACTGTTATGTATTGGTCCACAAAACATGGCAAGACACTTCTAAGATGTGAGAATTTTCAGTTTCGTTAGTGGTATTTGGGGTTACTGGTGGGTTCTGGTGGGGGCAACCTCTAAAACTGAAAAAAGGAAAATTATATCAGATATTGTAATATAGGTATGAAAGTCTAAGAGTTCATACATGGCCGTAGGAACCGGGGGGCACGGGGGGGGGCCGTGCCCCCCCCCCCCAATAATTTTGCCGATATATAGATTACTATAGTAAACATAGATACTATAAGCATGTTCCCCCTCAATAAAGCCGACTGATGACCTTTTTTTTTTTTGCTTGTCAAGGAATATTTAGTAGTTGAAGACCTTTTTTTCTTTTCTTTTTTTTTTTTTTTTGCTTGTCAGAAAATTTTTGGTAGTGCCCCCTCAACTGTCAACTGAAAAATGTTTGGCTGTGCCCCCCCAAACTGAAATTGCTTCCTACGGGCCTGTCATATATATTTGATGTTATTAAGAATTCAGAAGTGTGCGGGGGGGATGTACCATACATTCGTCAGGTGCCTGTGGTCCTCTTCTGCACTGACGCTTAACAACGTTCATAAACTATGGAACTTGTTTTACAATGGAGGCAAATGCAACAAATTTGTCTTAATTAACATCTGTAATGGATACTATGGATTGAATTATTTTAAAATATATAAACTCAGAACAGAGTGCCAAGAACTGCTATTGTTATCTCCAAATATTTTATGTTTTGTAATTTTACAGAATATTGTTCAAAGATGTCTATCGTTTTCGCTAGAATTTTTCTCTGAATTCCTTTAATTCGGGTACATTAAATCATATTATTTTTTTTTATCTCCAGATACATACAAAACTGCAACTGCTCACCTCTCATAATGTCGGTATTTGATTGGGTCAGGATCGAAATTCACGCCCAGCAGTCAAGGAAAAAATGAAAAATTGTCAATGGGAATTTAAAGGGGGGGGGGGGCACCGCCTGTTCCTAAATTGTCAAATCCATGATTAATCATATGTTTCATTTCTTAAAAGAAATGAATTTTTAGATGAGGGGGTATAAATAAAAGCTTTATTTTTGTAAACTGACAAGGCACAGCTTCTTGGGCTGATTCTTAATGCTTTTTCCCATAGACCTTAGCCTATTAGTAGTCTTATTAGTTCTTATGATGAATGCAAAAACGTCATTTTAGAAGACTTCACTTTTTGCTCTACTTAACCTCTAGAATGTTGTCAAAATCTATGCAATAATTTTTACTAATGTTGTCCATAGGCAACGGAAGCAAATTGAAGGGGGGAGTAAACCAACAAAAACGTTTTGGGGGGCTAAGCCCCAGCTTTCAATGCCTATATCATGTCTACCTTAGCAAAAAAAAAGCGGGGGTTTAAGCCCCCGGTTTCGAAAGTGGAGGGGTATGCCCATCCCGGTTCCGACGCCTATTTTGTCAAATCGGACGATTTTCTAGTAGGCGGTTAAGGGCTTAATTTTTCGTTCGATTATCCGATTACTCGGTTGGTTTTTCATAATACCTCTTAACATCCTTGCTTGCGATAGATATTCAATTAATCAATACTCAATTCACTTTACTGATTTAAAAATCCAAGCCTTTGTTGTCTGGGATAGCATCTTGTTAAATCAGGTTATTAACAAGGTAATAATATATATTTAGGTTTTAAAACTTGTATATCCCTTGTCCATCGAAACAATTACTAGGTAATTAGATAAACCGCGAAAACAAATCAAAACAAATTGATTGTATTTGTGACAGTCTAGACAGAGACTAATGGTAATTGATAATATGTAAGTAAACATTTAAAAACAAAACTTTTTTCTACTTATTTAATCAGCAAAACTGTCTATATACACGAGTAACCTGGTAGCAGCTTTACTAACTGATACTCGCATCGTTTGACGGTAAACCGATTATAACTGGTTTTTCGTTGTAGCAATGTCACATGAAATTTTTTACCTTTACTGAAACATTTTTCTGTATGTTTTTTTTTTTTCATTGGTTGGTCAAATAAAACATATTACAGTTTATTTGAGATTAATAACTTCAAAAATGACAAAGTTATGGGTATGTGAACATTCGAAATATTTGTAACCAATTTTAGGCCTGATAAAGAAAAGGTAACTAAGGTATAAAACTTTTTTTATTTATCAATGTTTCCTCTTCAAATTTCAGGATTTGTACATTAGGTTTTGAATTCAAAGAAAAAAATGCTAAAATATGAATTTACAGTCAATAAATGACATAATTAAGATAATCATCTGATCCTTCTTCACGAAAACTACCACTTATATATTTTGTTTTCCCTAAACAAGTGACTGGGACCTGGATGTTCTCTCTACAATATTAATGAAACTTAATGTTAAACCCTTGGATCGGATTGGTTTTCTGCTGAATTTTTCAAGATGTTTTGGAAATATATTGGTTATTTTGTAGTTGGATCTATTAATTACGGATATAAGAATAACAGTCTGTCTATTACACAAAGACATGGTGTCATTACTTTGTTACCAAAAGGTGACAAGCCAAGACAATACTTAAAGAATTGGCGACCTATTACTTTGTTAAATACCGTCTATAAAATTGCATCTGGGTCTATTACTAACAGATTAAAATGTTATTTAGATAAAATAATTAATCAAGATCAAACAGGCTTCATTTCCAATAGATATATAGGAGAAAACACAAGGCTAATTTACGACAAAATGCAATACACTGAGGAAGAAAATATACCTGGACTATTACTACTTATTGACTTTGAAAAAGCCTTTGATACTTTATCATGGAGCTTTATACAAGGCGCACTTAACTTTTTTAACTTTGGTCCCTCAATTAAGAAGTGGGTATCGCTTTTTAATACAGACATTACATCAGCAATAAACCAAGGTGGTAATCTCTCTGATAGAATTAACATTCAGAGGGGTTGCAGACAGGGCGATCCTTTGTCACCATATATATTTATTATATGTGCTGAAATTTTAGCAATCCAAATTAGATTAAACAAAAATATTAAAGGTATTACTGTAAACAATATTGAAAAAAAGATTTCTCAGCTGATGATACATCAATCATTCTTGATGGTAGTAAAGAGTCCCTCACACAAACATTGGAAACATTAAAGGATTTTTCAGAAATGTCTGGATTACATATTAACTATGCCAAAACTCACATAGTGTGGATAGGTTCTAAAAAGTTTAGTGATGAAATTTTATTGCCAAATTACAAACTTAACTGGGGAACTACCAGATTTACTCTTCTAGGAATACATTTTGATGTAGAATTGGATAAGGTACAACAATTTAATTATGAACCAAAATT